TGTCTTTGGAAATAATTTCAACCAGGATATATGGTAGCCGGTGTGAAAGTCAAATGGCAAGTCATAAGGGAATGAGTGAAAAAAGAGTGTAATACATGGAGACAACTAGCTCTGATGAAGTTTTGCACCGAAATAGAGAAAGAGTAGGGAGAGAAGATAGAATTTGAGAGAGGTAGTTAGGTCCAGAAATATTTCAATTTGTATCTCTAGCTGATGGAAATAAAAGCACCAGTAACAGAGGAGCCAATAGAAAGAGGAATCATTCATGAAATGATGGGGTCCCAAAGCAGAAAGAAAGGGCATAGGGTCATGCAAGGTGTGCCCAGGCCAAGAGCCCATTAGAAGCTGCATCCTCAGAGCAGAGGCCCCGGGCAGTGAGAGCACTAGAGTGCGTCTGCATGCCTGCATGGTCGTCCTAATTCTGCCCGCAACCCACCACGCAAACCCCGTGAGCGCCTCTTCTCTCTGAGCCTCTGCTTGCTCAGGAATAGGGGAGATGGCCTAAATCCTTCCAGCGTGTAGCCAGTCAGGAACAGGTAGGACGGAGAGATGTGGAGGGGAGAAGAGGAACATAGAGAAAGGAAGGTGGGAGTAGGCTCAGTGTCCTCAGGAACCAGCAAGCAGCATGACCCGAGGACAGTGACGGTGAGGCATCATGTGGGCTACTAGCATAGAATGAGGAGCAGTCGAGGGAATGCCCGGGGGCAGAAAGGCCACGAGGGACCACCCAGCACAGCCGCTGAAACCGTGGCAGTCATGCCAGTTCCCAACTCGGGCTCAGCCGCTTGTAAGTTGCAGGACCTTAGACAGGCTACTTAATCTCTCTACACCCGCTTTCTCATCTGTAAGATGAGAATAACAGTTCCCTTGTGACTGGCGTAAGAAAGTAAGAGACTAAAGGGGAATTTAATAAGCTAGCATATGGATAGCCCTTACTCTATCGCAGGGTCTATCTATAGGTGTGTTCAGGCAAGTTGAGCGCAGGGAAATAAATTAGAGAAGGGAACAGCTGAGGATAAATAATAGAAATTCACAGCGACCACTGGAGTTTCATAACTCGTACTGTCATCTCGAAGCGAGTGGATGACACAGTCAATGACAAGGATCCGTAGTATGGTAGGAGGGGGGAGGAAGCGGAAGCGTTTCTGCGGGGCAGGCAGGTGCGGGGCTGACCGCAGGCGGAGACGAAAAGGGGAAGGGCCGTGTGACTGAGGCCGGGGCCAGGGCACAATTCAAGAGCCAGGGGTCTAAGGAGTGAGTCTCTGCTTCGAAAGGAACTGGGTGAGGCAGGAGGGTTGGAGCATGTGGTCAGGAAAAGTGTAAAGAATGAGAGGGGGTCATAGAGAAAACTTTAAAAAAAAGATAAAGCAAGATGCAAAGAAAATTTCTGGTATGATAAATTTTAAAAACTGTGTTTTCTGGCAAGCTAATTTTATTGTATAATATCTTATACTTTTTGTCTCGTTTGCCACCTCTATGTATAATTCACTCAATCAAAATACTGAATAAAGAGAAAGTATAATAAAACACAGAGGCATTAGCAAAGAAGTGTCTCAGAAGAGATCGTGGCTCCGTAAGTTCCTCTCTTAAAGAGGAAGGAAAGCCAAGGTCCCTGGAAAGGCCAAGGCCAAGGGCCCTCGCCTGCACTGGGAATATTTGCCTGCCTTATACATTTGAAGAGCTATCCGCAGTATTTTCAGATCTGATGATAGGATAACCACATAACTACACTAGTGAAAACCACCACCAAGGTTCATGATACGTTACAGACCGCTTACTCAAGTGCCAGTCACTGTTCAACATTATTCTTATTGAATCCCCACCGTAAGACTCAAGGAGAAAAAGATGGTGATTTTTGCGCAGTCTTTAGATGAAGTGAAAGACAGAGATGTAATGCAGCTTCCTGAAGTCACTGAGCCAGGCAGAGCCAAGATTGACTCCTCAGCACATACATTTAACTGTCACAGAGAAAATCAAAATAGAGAGAAATTCTCAGAAAATAATTTCATGTTTTTCATTTGAAAGAAAATGCATGAATCATAATTATTTTTCCCCCCAATATTTCACTCTATGCAATTCTGCAGCCCATTCTTTCCTGGATAACTTCTGGTATTTGCTTATAGTTTTAGAATCTTCTCTGGAAGAATGTGTTTTGGGGGGAGGGGTCCAAGGCAGGAAAAATTAAAGTAAGAGGGTAACTTCAAAATGCTGAACAAAGTTGCAGGAAGCCTCAGTTTTTTGAGATGGTGAATATTGAAAACCTTGGCAGTCCCAAAATTGTAATTGTAGCTTGGTAACACTATCAAATGTGTATATTGTGGTCTTTTTGACAATTGTATTAATGCCTTTACAAAGGCTTCAGAAGTCCCATCACAGAAGCATGGATGCTGTTCTGATCTATTTATTACTCTTAAGTGTTCAGAGAACTGTCCCTATTTTCTAATTAACACTTTTAAAGATAAAAAGCCATGTATTAAATCAATCTGAATGATGGTTGTTTGTGAATCCCACAAGATAAGGCAATTTGCATGTTCACTTTGTACTTACAAACTAAATCTGCACATCTCCAAAGCAGTCCCTTCTAATGTAAACCTTTTGTGAGTATTTGTAACTTGAAAGAAAGTTTGGTCTGCTACAGAAGCAGTGCCAGTTATCTAAAGGACTTCATTACCAAACTTGATTAAGATACGAAGATACTGGGTTGTTCTTTCGTATTGTTTGCTATGGAATCGGAGGAAACGACTTTTAAAACATCCAGAATTAGAGATTATTACCTCGTTATGGGGAACTCACGCAACTCATTTCCCCCAACAGTTAACAGCTTTCAAAGTAGCCAGTTGCCACTCACTTGGGGTAAAATTCCTTTGAAATGAATTAAATAGCTTGCTGATGAAATGCACCTTTCAGCGACCTGTTTGAGTTTCAGTGGATGCCGTAGCCCACTCCGTGATGTGAATTCCAGCATTATTGCTAAATCACAGTGGTGATTTATTATTGGATTTTCAGTACTGATGAGTCAGCGCTGTAAGATGTTTACCGAATTAGACTTTCAGGAACAATGGCACTGCTCTCATTAAATAGAAGCCTTTGTTGCCGATATAGGCTATTATTTCCACATGGTTGTGATGTGGTGTGTTCACACTTGGGGCACTCATCAGATAGGGTTTCTTTGCTTTTGCAGGATCTGTCTTCATTGTGCTTTACGTGCTCAATCAACTTTGAAACCATGTGTAAAAGCCCCAGTCTTCAAAAATTCTAAAAGGGATCCTTTATCTTTTCTAAACAGTTCAACCTGTGCTTTTCTTTTGCCAAATGAGTCAAGAAACCAGAAATATCATGTTGGCTAGTGAAAATGATATCAGATTTTTTTTTCTTCTAAAGAAAATAGAAACCAATGCCTTATGCCAATCGACCTCTCCTAAACGGCTCTGTAAAAGGTGAAACCTGAACAACGTTATTGGGGCACTGGTGAGATGGGGAGGATAGGATGCTTGCTTTTCCTAGGGAAAAGAAGATGATTTTTTAACAAATGTATTGATTCGACAGGTATTTATTGGCCGTCCACTGCATGCCAGGGGCTATTATACTGTTATACGTGCTGCAGAGATAAATGTAAACATGAAATACTTGTCTTCATGGAGCTCACTTTCTAGAAAACATTCATTAAACAAGTAACTCAAATACACAAAGTAACGTCAGCTCCTAATTAAATATAGGTGCTAGATATGTCCACTGAAGTTAAAGTTCTTTCAACTCCAGCAAAGCTTGCTTATCCCAAGATCAATTTTGAACTTATTTTAACAAGGAAAAGCTTGTTTTATAATACATCTTTCATGCAACAACTGCTTCTTAGGAGCCTACGCACAGTTTTCATGTGGTAGGTTCGATGGTACTTTCTCCCTGATACAATTAGCATGTTCCAGCCCTTTGTGTTCTGAATCTAAGTTGGAATGATCAGAGGTGCATCGTTGCTGACAATTTGGGGCATGGCCCACAGTTGTGATCCAGCCCATGAAAGAGGCAACTGAACAATCTTTTTGAGGCCTTGTTTGCTATTATTAGTTGCTTAACAAGATCATAGATCTTTTTCTTTATTGGGTCATGATTATAACGAAATGAGTATGGACAAATAAAGCATATTAGCAACTCGGATCCCAAAGCAGTGGACTCAGGGTTTGGCTTTTGCTGCCACTGCAAGACACATGGCAAATGATGTTCACACGTGAGACATAGTTCCAGAGACGGTTAAGGATTTATACAAACCCCAGGACCTTAGCTATACCTCCACCCCCTTCTATCACCCAAGCATGCCAATGGATATCAGTGAGTGAGAATAAAATGATTATAGGAAGAATCTTGAATCCTCTGCTCTAATTTATTTNCACCCCCTTCTATCGCCCAAGCATGCCAATGGATATCAGTGAGTGAGAATAAAATGATTATAGGAAGAATCTTGAATCCTCTGCTCTAATTTATTTTTAAGTAAATCAGCGGTGAATGATTATTAATCACAAGTCACTTATGAAGCACTTCCCAAAGAATCACATGTGCGTGCCACAGCGGCGCGCTCAGAACCGCCGACCCAGATAGCCTAAATTCCTTTAAAGTTAGATAACCACATGTGCTCTGAATTTTTAGAAATTCATTATGTAGTTAAATACCAATAACCAAAGCCAACCAGCGTCATAATTTAAGCACTTAATTTGCTTTATTACTATAGTTTTCTCCTACTTGGCTTCCTTTCTCTCTCCCATATGAAAGATTTGATGATAGAGGGGGGGCGGGGTAGGTGGTTAGCTCTCCCTAAAGCAGGTACCTCCCTTCCCCTGCAGCGTGTGTCTTTCAGACCACCACTGACAAGGTGTTGATATGTGGAAGTAGTTACCTCAGGTCGACTGTTCCTGCAGCCAGGCTGGGAGCAGTCACTTCAATGGAAATCTCCGCAGTCCCTGCCAGCTTCTCTGGCCCACAGATGTCTCAGGATGCAGCCCCCTTTCTTGGTTGCAGCATCGGGATTTGCAAATGATCAGCGCACCAGAGTTGTTGCCGACCTTAAGGTGGACTTCAGCAAAAGGTAGGAAACCTGTCGGCCTCAGAAAAATATTTTTTAATGTTTGGAACACTCAAAAAAAAAAGTTTTCAAAGAACTTCGTCCTTTGTGATTCAGGTGGGATCGTTTTGTTCTTCCTGGGAATGAATCTTTTGCTTATTTGGGGGTAAATGTGGTTTTACATACTGTAAGTTTAACCATAAATCCTTCTGAAAATGCAAACCGAAAGCACGCTTTCCTTCTCATTAAATTCCATTATATACCAAAAGCAAGATCTAAGTGTAGCTGTAACAGGATCTAAGCAGAGCTGCAAACCAGAAGTACCGGCTGCCTTGTAAACAGTACAACATGAGAACACTGGGGAAGGTCTGTCTCCATTCTGGCTCAATAAGTAATGGCTGAGTGCAGTCAGACCCGAGCATTCGGTTAGGGGCTTAAACTCCGAAGAGCACGGCCGGGTAGCCTTGCAGCAGTTTTTCAAATTATTTTAATTATTGTGAGACAGGAAACTTGTTCAATAGAAAATATGATTTCTACAGAATAATGCGGCCACTCTTTAATACGCAGCATTGTTGGAGCTTTCTTTTCCCATATTTTCATAAATAAGTGAAAATTTTTTTTTTTTTAGAATTTAGGATGTCCATGGGCACTAAGAAGAACCTTGGCTTAAAGGCCAATTTTTAAAATTTGACAAGGGGAAAGAATATTTGAGAGAAAATAAAAGAAAGGGGAAAAAAGAAGAGAGAATAAAGACATAGAATGGGAAGAAAGCAAAAACTGAACAAGGAGA